CAACAGGCAGCAAGTCACATAATCGCCTCAACCAGTGGTTCCCAAAATGGGGATTGGGCCACGAGACGACCCAAGTAAGTGTGATCTGATGCTTGCAAGTAAAAGTTCAGCTTTGCACAATGTATTCTGACACACAAGCACATGTGCAAGATGGACAAACTTTCAGCAGGAAAGAAAAGAAAAACAGGCAATGGTTGTTAAGCAAACATGTAAGCCATGTTATGTAAGTCATACGACAAAGCCCATCTTGCTCTTGAGTTTACCATCAATATAGTGAGAGATTTGTGTCTAAAAAGTTATTTTCATTTCTTATTGATTAATAAATATTGATGCATGCAAAGAGCATGACAGAAAAAAAGAGAACCACTGCTCTAAACAGTCCCTGTAGTTTTCTGATTGGTTAGGTTCATCAGATTCTCAGTCAATGTTTTCTATGAGTAGTATGGAACTTATACAAGCGTGATGTAGAAATTCTACATACACTGAGAATGTACTTTACAGTTAAATAGGAGACATCTTGTGTATAACAGGAATACTTTAGAAATGAGCTAAATTAGCATATTCATAGATAGTGGAATTTTTAATGAGGTAGATGCCTTTTTAAGGATGTAAATGTTTGCAGGAAAAACATATCAGACACCCATTATTTTCATGTCTTAATACATGTCTGTGGGGGATCTTTAACAGACCACTCAGCAAGACAGCCAGTAAGGCCATAAAAGTACCTGTTTTGAGTTGCAGTCCATTATATTAATACAAGGCTAATGAACAGATGAAGTATTCACGTGAATGACACTGTGATTCAAGTATTATGACCAATATGGAAACATTTATTTCAAACATTGTAAAAATGGAGCAACGGTTCAATTCAGTGTCAACTCTAATTGACCGTTAACATTTAGATTGAGGTAGGAAAATGATCTTTAATGGGTACAACTCCTTCATTATTATCGTACCTTGTATGCTGCGTTTCTCACCCTCTGTCTCTCTCTTTCCCTCTCCTTTTTGTTTTCTTTCACTTTCACTATGTGCTTTTATTACTGCATTATGTACCTCAAGATGGCAATTAAGAACTCGTCTAATTGCTGGTAAATATCTTACCGGTGTCTACTTCAAAAAACAAAAGAACTGAAAAACTAAGAAAGCAGTATAACATCCACTAAAGTTTTCAACATACTGAGACTGGTAAAAAGAATATGTCATTTTAAATCAAGTACATGAACACAGACATAGATATACTACTATATACAGCGGCTTTTCTCTCTCTTTCTCTTCCATCTGTCCTGCTTTTGTCTTCTTACTAATATGAGTGTGTCCACTGCCTCACACTGCTGTGGTCATCAGTGCCGAGGTCTTCTCCCTCGGGGCACTGCCTCTTTCTTCAGAGCTGCTTATTAAAACCCCAAACTTGGCCTCTGGGAGCCTCTCGCTATCTTTCTCCTTCACCACCTCTTTCTTTCTATTCCCCTTCCTCTTTAAAGACACACACTCAGGGACAAAAGGTGGGAATTTCCCTCCAGTTTGTTCCACCCAGTGGGGCATGGACTCTTCAGCTTTTTCAGCAACAAGAACCAATTACTGTAAGGCGACTCGTAAAATTCCCTTGCTGAACCACCAATGTCATCATTTCACATCATTCTTCTGCTGGCCCTTTTTCTGTAGTCAGCCCTGGCCTATATGATCAAGGGCTTCATGTGTATGGAGCCCCAAGGAAATTAATCACCGCTCTCTAAAATGATGGCACCTTAGAGATGCTAGTGATTACAGAGCACCGCAAACTCACCGTATTTAAGCTCTGCATCAGTTTTTGATTATAATCAAAGTTTATTGCCGCACTTTTATTCATGAAGTCTCCACAGATGCAGCGCTTGGCTAGCCAAGCGTTAGACAGGGCCAGAGATATCAGATGATGCACCGGCTTGCTACTGAATCGCAAGCACACTGTTGCTATGTATAGGCTCAGCGCACTCAGAAGAATGGATCGGGAGAGTGTAAGACTGATGGCCACTGTCAGGCTGCAGCATGGGTGAATCATGAACACTCCTGTTTCCACCCATCTGAATTTCCACATAATGTTCCACCTCTTGAACATTTCCTGCTGGAACAGTTGTTTTCTTTTGACCAGCGTTTTCTTTTGGTATGAGTTTGCAGGGTGAGTGAACGGTCGATACTTTTCACTTCAACCAAATTGACGTCATTGACATTTGACTTTGTGCTGGCAGAGCAGCCCATAAACCAAGGAGGGCTGTAGCTCGATGACATAGTGCTCATCAGTTTATTGTGGTGCATTGTTTACAACTTGATAAGCTCAAACAGCTTGAGGTCACAGAGAAGTACAATCCCTTTATGTAACAGGGAGACTCAGTCCTCTGTGCCCTATGACAGACAGTAAGTCTTTCAGTGACACTGAATCACCGTGACGTGGGAGATAATGAATACAGCACACATCCTACTGTAGAACATTGGGGCTATTTTTTGCTCGATTCAAGATTGTGCTGGTTTCATTGCCAAACACTACCTCTCACTTTGTTTTGTTCCTCTCTTGTTCATGTGCTTGCACCAAAATCACATTATCATGCTCTGCAACCTTTTCATTTAGCCCGATATTTTGGCTCGGTAACGCTGGGAAAAGACACTGGCTTCTTGAAAGCATGTCAGCCAGCAGGAAATAAGGCTTATTTTTTTCATCTGGTCTTTTCTGTTCTGCCCTGCGTTTCCTAATGACAGCGGGCAAACCCCACTGCTCATGTGAAAGCCAAATACACAATTTTTAATAATGATGTGTTTGGGTACATGCACATCCGCTGTGTGGGAACTTAGGATATAGTACTTCAGTGACAAGTCTATCTGCAGCTCTATTAGCTATTAACCTTAGTGAAACTCAGGTGAACACTAAATGAGTTGAGGAAGTCAGACAGATTTCCCACTGGCCCAGAATTCATTGCCTCCAGTCGGGTTAAGACTTGATAGCGACATAACACACATATGCTCAGAGGACCACAAGTTTAGCGAGGGAAATTGAATGATGCTGAGGAAACAACATTGTCATTATCTCTATGACAAAACTGGATCCTGCAGTATCAAACCTTACATAATAATTCAGGCCAATAACTCACTGCAGTCTCTAATTTTCTTGTGATTATGGCGCTTTGTGTCTCATGAGCTGTCTTGCCAGCTTTCAAGCAACTGCTAACACACAGTGTTTTCCTTTTTTTAAATACGAGGAGCACTTTAAACACAAATCTTTAACACTGCCGCTCATTCCCATTCATGACAGGCGTGCCTGCGTGCCTTGGAGGTGCAGCCCTAGAGCTGGAGACACACTTTTCATGGCTAAAAATAAACACATCTCATGCGCTCCCATCCTGGTTTTCAAGAGGAAACACACACCCAAAGAGCATAAATAAACGACAGAGGAACAATGCTCACAGCATGAACTGCTAGAGGGGGCTGTCATTATTTTCAGCAACAATTATGACAAAACTGCACCTATGTGAGTTTGGGTTGGCCCGTACCCTATCCTCCCTATCAGGGACTATTTGAATCATCTGTGAGTGAGGCTGATTTTCTCACAAATGGTTTCTCTTCCCACACAAGTTTTGGAGAAGTGTTATTTGGAAGTCTTTGTTTAGAAATGATTAATTGGTGATACAGTTTAGAAATACTTCCAGTAACTACTGGGGGATTGTTGGTTTCAGGACTGAATATGAACCTCCAATGATGCAGTGATTGCCTCAAATTTGGTTTCTTTGTCCGGGAAATTCACTCTGTGAGTCTGAAAAGAAGAGTGAGTGCAGCCTTTTGTTGTCACCGACAGTGTTCAATCACAGTACCTCCTGTGGCAAGCTAACCTCGGGACACAATAGCCGGCCCTTTTGGTCGGGTCTGTGTGTGATAACCAGCATCAGTCCGACGTGCCAATAATCCAAGATCAGAGGGGTTAATAGTGTGTACTGTGTCCTCACCCTCACGGCCCCTGCTTCCCTAAAGGGTCCTTGTAACGACTCAATGCCAGGAAACATTAATTCCTCACCCAGCCTCAGTGGAGGTCACTATGGGTTAAGCTTCGTGGCAGGAAGCTAGGCTGTGGCGCCGTGGATGATGGATGCCTTCCATCAGAGGTGTTTTAGTGAAATGTAATACACCCTGTTGCTTACTTACACATTTGTCACATTACTCTTGGCCAAGACTTCTTGGATTAAGTGTCAAGAATCACGTGGAGGTGGATTTAAGCCTGTTTTGCATTTTTGTGAATTCAAAATGATTTCGGCAGCATTGACATTCTTATAATATTCCCATTTTTTAGCAGCAGGGTCACTACCTTTGAGCTTGCCCGAAGTGATTTCAAAGAGCACACAAGAAACTTAATTTGGGTTTACTCTAAAACACTGCACATTCTGACAGCCAGCCCCACTTAACGTTCATTCTAAAAACCAAACAATCCATCACTGTCAGCTTTAAAGGCATTTCTGTACAGGTAATGCAACCTGTGGTATTTCCTTGTGGCACCCAAAGGACCTCTCTAAGCTGGTAAAGTCTCCCTCGCACAGTCACTTATCTGCCGGGTTTCTTGGGTGAAACAACTGGACAGCAGCAGACAACTTTGTAACTAACGTGTTGATGGCTAAATGAGACTTCTGTCTGGATGGAAGAGAGCTCTATTACTCTCGAAATTTCTCTTTGTCTCTTTTCTACTTGCTGTCTGATTCAGAGAAGTTGATTCATGGTTTCTTAGGTGTGGGATGACACAAGCTGTGAGGCTGCAGTGACTGCTTGATAGAATCTGGTTTATTATGATGATGATTATTGTTATTTCTAATTAACAGTGGGAGGTGAGGAGGTGGGTAGACGGTATCATCCCTCCCATGACCATGTGTTTGTGCCATACATAAAGAGTTCAATTGTGCAGGAACATTCATTTTGGCTTCTATATTCTATATATATTGAGCTTCAAGTTATTTTTATTATCGTTTAATTTGTGCCCCTGACTTTTCCTTTAGCGTCATCAGCTCACAGTTTTAACGAAGATGGCAAACAAGGTAAACATTATACCTGCTACACATCAGCATTGTCACTGTGAGAATGTTAGTGTATTTATCTCAAAGTGCCGCTAACATCGTTGAAGACCTGGCATTAGAATACGTCTCCACATGTGTCTTGAGTGAACACTCACATTCTCTCACTTCCCCGCTCTACATGTAAATAAACACAATAGGGCTGTACCCTACTCAGAATTTTGTCAATGCCCTTTATTACTTTCCAGTTGGCTGTTCAATACAAAGATTCAATTATTTGTTCCTTTTCTTCAGTTCAGTGTCTCTTTTAGCCTAATTTGTGTGTTTTACCTGTGGTGTCAGCAGCCAGGAGAGTCTCTGCTGCAGGGCTTCAGCCAACACACTGGGACAAATGGACACAATATTTTTTACACACAGAAAGAAAGAAACTATTGTGTAACAAATAACAATTTACAGGAAGGCCAAATTAAGAATATGTTGTAGACATTGTTTCACAAAGTTTATAAAAGTTTCTCCTCACTGAACAACTTTCAAAATTATGTAATTTTTCCCAGGGGATCTGGGGATTTGCAGTTACATACAGATAGTTTTGCATTGCAGTGAACCAAATGTTAGACACCGACAGCATGTTTTGTGTGTTCTTGAAGGATGTCAGTTGAGTAGGCGGTCCTTTAGTGTGACCCAGGACACATCATGTACACACTGCTAAAAGAATGTTATCACATGCTGCCCAGACCACCCACTCACACCTGTAGTTATAGCTCTCCGCTTGTGATCGGCTCACCCAAGATGCATGTTACTACCAGGTCTTACCAGGGCCTTCGTCGTGTTATCAGACCAAAGAGACTGACTACATTTAATTTACAGTGATATAGACCCAAAACATTCAGTGTGTTTTTGATGATCAAGTTTCACCCATAATATACGGGACATTGCATGTTTGAGTGGAGGTTTGTGGTGCTTAAACATTTTCTGATTGTTAAATCAAAGAGCATGTATACGTCTGACATAGAGCTATTCTGTCAGTAAGTGGAGGATATTTCACACCGCAACATTAATTTTATGACTTTCACCTCCCACTGAAAAGTTCTGAAAATTAAGAAATGCAGTACAGCATAGATGCAAGTGTGCCGGCTGGTCATATACCACTTTACTGATGATCCATTTCTAATTACAAAATTGTGTGGACAATTGTAGGAAAACTTGGAGTTCAGAGCTCCCTCTCAGGCTAAAAAAAAATCATGTGTGAGCTGGGGAATCAAGAGAAACGGGAGCAGTTGAGGTCAAGACATACTGACCTTTGCTATTGACTCAGTCCACACTTATCTGGTGACCCTGAAGTATCTCTTCACGCTTATGGGAAAACCCATAAGCACTTTAATTAGTCCCAGTACCATTTAACTTTATATCCTCTTATACTGCAGCTCTGTGGACCTCGCCTGCCCCTTCCCTCCTGTAAATGTAATGAAGCCACAGCCAGTGTTTACAAATGGATCCCTCCGTCGCTCCTAATCTGTTTGTGATCAAGTTTTGCACTAAGCAGCCCAATAGGACTTAGTGAGTGATGCCCCGCACTCAGCGAGAGTACACGACATTAATAACTCAAGGTAATGAGTTATTATCTTTGCCTTTATCAGATTGACAGAACCCATGGCATTAGCAGACTGCTTAACGAGGAGACCAGCATCAATTAAATCGCCACTTCTCATTGTTCGCGTTCAGGCAGCATTAAAGTATGACAAGTGAAACATAATTAGGTATTAAATCGTATTAAATTGACCATTGAGTGAAACAGATTCACAGCATGTTTCATATATTCCCTGTTAATTCATGCAAAACAGCATTAATCCATCATAAGCATGCCTTCCTGCATGCTTCGCCTCACCTTGTCCTACGTTAATTCATCCTCTCCTTTGGCTCCCTTTTCTCTCCACCCATCCTCCCATGTCTGCCTTTTCTGAACACGAAATGATGTGAGACTTCACAGTACTTCTTCTCATTTACAGTAAGATCACATACTCTCATACAGACTTCACTGAGCGCAACAGTTTGTTGATTTTGAATCACAGCTCAAATATTGAATACTTTGTAATTCGTGTTTTCCAAGGCTGAGGATCAGAAGGTAGAAAGAATAAGAAATGTCAACGAGCTGCATTGCCCAAGCGGCTTCACTCTCCTTTCGATTCTAATCCTTAATGTATATGGTGAAGTAATTGTTGTGGGCTCATTCATTTGCAGCTTGCGCACACATCACATACAGGAGTTTTTCAAAGCACAGGCCTCAAGGACAAGCATTAGAGGCCAATCAGGAAGCAGTGTGATGCAACGAGGCGGTCGTTACCCTCGGGGGCTCGCCTTGTTGGGTATGGAAATGAGAGTGGGAGGGATATCACAGGCACTTAAATTGATTTCAGTTAAGGAACAGACCACCCAGATGTTGTGCAATTTCACTATCCATACCAATAAATACTGAAGAATCCACAGCTATAGCACATTTGGATCAGCATGTACAGCCAGCATTTGTTCTGTTTGTTGCTGATTTGGATTTTCAACAGTGTATGTTGACATTGACATTTTACAGTGTGCAGCTGGTGTTACATGTTTTATAACCATAGCAATTTTTATATTCACAGCTGCATCTATTGTATACATTTTATGAACGTCTCAACACAAATACATGTTGATAAAAACTAGAAAATGTATTTTGTCATATTCCATATTTGTGACAGCCTCAAAATCCTCTGAAGGACAGGGCCAACAATCGTGGGCACTTTGATGGACCTGAAGGTCAGAATTATTTTTTCTCAATGAGACTAGGACTGCAATTATTTTCATTATGGTTCATAAAATGTCAGTCCAGAAATATTCATTTTAATGCCACTGAGGACTAAGAAAACCACCACATTTGAAAAGGTGGATTTTTTTCAATTGTTTGATGTTGCTGATTATCTGTGATTAAAAAACAATTCAAAGCTCAAGGTTCACTTACTTGTTCCCCAAGGTTTCAACCATATTCCACAATAGGACTCAAGTCACATGATAACATCAAATCACACGATAACGTCCACCCATTATCTATAACCGCTAATCTTGCGCAGGGTTAGCTGGATCCGATCCCAGCTGACATGGACAAGAGGTGGGATACACCCTGGATAGGTGGCCAGTTCGTCACAGAACTGACACATAGAGACAACCGTTCACACTCACAGTCACACCTGTGGGCAATTTAGAGTCATCTATTAACCTGCATGTCTTTGGACTGTGGGAGGAATCTGGAGTACCTGGAGGTCCAAGCCCCAGCCGCAAACTCCCCACCCAGGCACCTTCTTGCTGTGAGGCAACAGTGCTAACCACTGCACCACAGTGCTGCCCCACATGACGACAGGTGGGCTGTATATGAGAGGAAGATTGTAACCCCTGTCATTGTTCAGGGATGGTGTGTCGCATCTGATGCAGATGACCTCCTTGGTCTTTCTCCAGCTGTCCAGTGACTCCTGGTGAATGACTTTGATGCCTGGGTTTTGGTCGAAGAGGCAATTTGAATTTGACGGCAGAGAAAATCTTTGAACGAGTTTATCATTTTTATCACAGATGTGCATTTCCAAGAACTTAAAAAGAACAGTTCATTAAGTCAACATTTTGTACTTTATCATCAGGTATTTGCCTTCGTGCAGCCAACAAAATGTGAATACCAACGGTAAAGTAAGACAGATTTCATGATACCAGGGTTTACAGAATGTGTTGCTGTGTTTAACTTGAATACATCATGGATAACAGGCAAATATAGCAGCAGGTTAGTGGTAAATAGATAGAAGTGATGTATCGAGGCTACTAACAACATTGGAGTTTATGTCTGGTTTCTATTATTTACACCCTGCAGTGGCTTTTTCATTGGTGCATTGATGTGATGCGGTATATTTACAGTATACCTGTAAATACCTACTAAATTTGATGGTCCCATGTTATTTTCTGACTTTCTGACTACAAATTGGGGATGATCTCCTGAACATGCCATTTAACAACTGACCAGTACATATAGACAGAATACATTCGACATCCTCTCCAAATTTGGACAAGGGAAGGCAGTATTTCTCAGGCTCATTCGAAAAGCCTTTGACATGAGACGGCCATTGTTGGCCTGTTACAGTGTATTGAGTCTAGAAATACAGACCTTTGAGGATCAGGCCCCTGAACTGGGACACAGCTTGTGGCTGCTACACTGTACGACTGTCACATCTTTCTATGCACTGTATGTGGCCCCTGGCAAAGACAAACACTCCGGTCCTGGCTGTGATATGCACAAGCTTTGTTTCTAAGCAACCTCCAGCTCAAATCCTGAAGTAAATGAACGAGGAGAGCTGTTGTAGAGTCTTGATGGGGTGGATGGAGGGATGGGTGTCTGTTGTGGTAGTTATGTCAGAAATTGCTTTTAGAGCTGTGTTGAACTTCAGCTGAAGGTTGAGTTGTTTAGCTTCCCAGCCATATTTATGACTATTTGTAAGACCAAATATTGGCAAAAACTTTATCAGCAACTCATAAATTCTAATTTTGAAGCCTGTTTTGATACACAATGAGAACAAATGATAAACTTAAAGGTGTGTTTTTCCTAAAAAGTTCATTTCCACTTGCTTGCTTGCATTTTATTTTTAAGTTTCTATGGTAAATGGTAAATGGACCTGTACTTGTATAGCGCCTTTCTAGTCTTCAGACCACTCAAAGTGCTTTTACATTACGTGCCACATTCACACACATTCACTCAGTGATGGCAAAGCCCATCGAACAAAAACTAATGCAGTCATACACATTCACACAGGAGGAGCCAGGGATCGAACCAACAACCGTCCGATTAGTGGACGACCCGCTCTGCCTCTGAGCCACAGCCAGTGTAGTACATATTTCAGCAACCCAAGAGTCATATACCTCAAAGTCAAATTGTATATCCATCTCCATTTATGACAGTGACAGTGAGTGAGTATTCCCAGCAAAACTTTATGCTGTTAACTGAATACTGACCTGTATTTCAC